GGGACAGGGCCGGGCTCCCGCAGCCGCCACGGTCGTCGCCGCCTCCAGCCGGAGGACCAGGCAAAAGTTTGGATCTCGGGGAGGACGTGGCGCTGAGCGGGATTACCAGCAGGCCGGAAGGATACCTCGGAAACCTTGGCAGGTAACGGGGACCCCCCCCCCCCCCCCTCCCTCCGCCGGGCTCCGGCTCCCTCCCAGCGCCTTTTCTGTCGCTCGCCCGCTCTGGCTGAAAGTAAGTGGGAGGCGAAGTTCCAGATCCCATCCCGGGCGTGGGCACCCAGCGCCCGGAGATCTGCAGTCGCCGTGGAGGGCCCGTGGCGCTTCTGGGCGTCCGGGGGGCAGCTGGGGAGCGAGGCGAGTCTCCCCCGGGAAGGGATCAGAACCCGCGGCTCCAGCTGGTGCCCGGTCGTGTAGCTCCTTGGGAATTTAGAACGCGGTGGATAAAGAGGCTCTCAGTATTCTTCAATCAGGGGAAATGATGATGGATCGCACTCACTCCCACCTTGACCCTCTCACTCTCGTTGAGCGTATTAAAAAAAGCAAGCGCCCATTCGCACTCCCTTGCCGCGTTTAGCTGGTGCAGGAAAGCAATGGGGGGCTGTGTGAAAATTTTAAGGAAGGGGGAACATTTATCCTCCCCCCTTTTGACATCCTGGGAGGGGGGGTCTCCTCCTACCATTCAGCTTATGGCATCATAAAACAGGAACTTTAGAAGTCACATCTGGATTGAAGGGAGGGAAGAAACACTTAAAGTATATCCAGAGTGTGGGATGGAAGTAACCCATGTGGATGAAAAGGGGCCACATGCTAACCTGACTAGCTCAGGAAAGGCCTGCGTGGCGGCCTGGCAAACTCAGAGACCCAAAGTAACCACAAAGGATGATCTGAAATTAAAACTTTTAAATTAAAAAGCAGTCTATGGTGGGTAGTCACGTCCTAGGCTGGTTTCTTCCCTGGTGGGTGGGGGGGGGCGCTGAGTGGTCTCGAGTGTACACTGAGGAGGGGGCAGCTGAGAGACATCCGGAACCGCAGCCTCACTTAGGCTAAGAAAATAGCTCTGCCTTTCACTCTGAGAGCGAAAGGATTCCAGCCCCGGGTTCCCCAACATCCCCTCTCCCCCCAGTGGAGTTTTGAGTTTCCAAGTGGCTCCAGGTTTGCCGCTGCTCTCGTTTTTTGTTATTATCTTTATTTTATTTTTAAATTAGCATCGTTATGAACTCACCTGGAAACTCATGGTGCCTTCTCTTGTAAATGGAAATCAGTTTCCGAGAGCTTTTGATTAATTTCAGTGGAGGGACTCCCCTGGTAAAGCTTACAGTAAGCTAATCAAGGGCAAGGCACAAATCCGTGTAAATGCTCGCCCAGGAGTGCAAGGTGCTGATTAGATTTCTTTACAGGCTGCATTTGCTATGCAAAGCCTCTTCCAAATGGGATCTATTGCTCCCCGCTCAGCTGGGAGGCTCTTTCATCACACAGGGTTTCAGGGAGCTTCGGGGCATGGCCACCGGCTCTTGGGCTTATTGCTAAATTTATTATGTCTAACTTCTCCCAGCCAACAGCTAATATGAAGGCTAGCTTCCATATCGGGAAGATATTGTCCGTGTGACCTTATTAAATCTCCAGTGACAGGATCCCCCAAACATGAGGTGAACAGCATGCAGCGTGGCATTTGTCCAGGGATATATTTGGTGGCTGCAGCATGCATGTAAAAATTTAGTTCAGCATATAAAGTGTTAGAACTGGGCTTTTTTTTTTTAATCACTAAGCAACATGCATCAGATCCCTAAGATGGACAGGCCACCGTATTAGAAGAGAATAAATCCGTGGGTAATGCATGCACCATGGAAAGTTGCTAATTTCCCCACAATGTGACTGCTCTCCAGAGCACACTTTTCTTCCTCCCCTGCTCAAAAGCCCCGCACAGGATAGGGTTAAGCCATTTAAGGGTGTCTAACAACCACAGATGACAGTGCAACACCATACTGTCATGTTGAGTCGCAAATATCTGACTGGAGGAGGTTGGAGATGAAATTTCAAACAGCATTCCATGTCAGTGCCAGGGGATACAAGGCACTGTGGAAAAGACCTGGGCTTGCTGTACTGTGGCAGAACCTATTACAAACCTAGCATGGAAAGAATGCCTTTTTTTTTTAAATACCCCTCTTAACACTTCACTAGTTTCATTGCAGTTTTACAAATTTCAGG